AATTACCACAGCAACATCACAGATCACTGATCACAGATCACCATAAATAATGAAAAAGTTTGAGATATTGCAAGAATTACCAAAATGTGGCACCATGCCCAAAGTGAGCAAATGCTGTTGGAAAAAAATGACACTTGTTCAATGCAGGGTTGCCACAAACCTTCAATTTGTAGAAAATGCAATATCTGCAGAGCACAATAAAATGAAGCACCATGGAAGGAGCTGCGGTTGTCTGCCCCTGACACCAGTCCCATAAGATGCCCATCTCCAGCGTCCCTGGGCCGACAGCCTCTAATCAGAGCACACCTGAAGATTTCCTTTTCCACCACGAAGCTTTCCTTCTCCTTTGTCTGACTTCCAGTCTCTACCAAATGCAAGTCATGTGGCGGAGTCCCTTGCTAGAGCAAGCTCTCAAAAAATAGCCTGTGTGTTCTCACTTGGATGCTGTATTAGTCAGAGTTTTCCAGCGAAACAGAACCAAAGGAGATATACATATATATATATATAAATCTATAGAAAGAGATTTATTATAAAGGATTGGATCATGCAGGCACGGAGGCTAAGTCCCACCACGTGCCGTCTGCAAGCTGGAAGCCCAGGAGAGCTGTGGTGTAGTTTTAATCCACATCCAAAGGTGAGAGCCAGGCATGCAGAGGCCCCACAGCAGGAAAGGATGGATGTCCCAGCTTAAACAGGGAGAGTAAATTCACCCGTCCTTGCCCGTCTTTGTCCTATTCTTGCCCTCAGAGGCTTGGATGATGTCCACCCACACTGCTGACGGTGATCTTCGTTACTCAAAGGTCTACTAATTCAAATGCTAACCCCATCCTGAAACACCCCTACAAACACCCAGCAATGTTTGCCAACTGCTTGGGAGTCCCCCAGCCCAGTCAAGGTGACACAAAACCAGCATCTCAGATGTTCTTTATCTTCACACTCACTTCTCCACACCACCAGCCACATCTGGAATTGTCCCTCGCTGAACGTGCCAAGGCTGTTACCCACTGGGAGCAAAGCCACACATGAAGATTCAGGCTGGGTAGGAGCTCTATTGTCTTTTGTAAAGAGAGGAAAGGGTAACTGTGAGAGGGAGGTGGAGGGGAAGGGAGGACATCCTGACTCCGAAGTGTGGCCTCAGACGGATAATCTTAAAGAGGAATACACACGGAAGTTTAAGATCAGGAAGATGGCTCCTAAAAACGCACTTGCCCCAGAAGCCTTTGGAAAGTCTTCAGTTATTCCCGAAGACAGGCTGCCACAATGAAGACTCCTAATCCAGAGCAAAGGTGGAGGGCTCCCTTAAGCCAGGGCAGAGAGAACGGAAAAGGATGGGGGTCCTTGCAAGTCAGCATGTCTATTTGAGCCATCGTGGTCTTCTCTGCCTGCTGTGCTTTCCATAGCAGGCTGGTTCTTCTTTTTCTTCTTTTCTTCTTTTTTTTTTTCAAATTTTTAAAATAAGGTCATTTTTCACTTTTGGGGGGGAAGGAGGTGGAGGTAATTTGGTTTATTTATTTATTCATTTAGCTTAATGGAAGGACTGGGAATTGAACCCAGGACCTCACGCATGCTAAGCATGTGCTCTACCTCTGAGCTATACCCTCCCCCCAAAGCAGGGTTTTTCCTTGAGTTCACATCTCAACTTAAAAGCCATCTCTACAGAGGAGCTGCCCTGACCACTCCCTCTTAAGTCGCTGTCTAGTCCATTGTTGTATATTCTCAGCACAGCATTTTTTTACTGTCTGATTTCCCCCCTCCCTCCCTCCTCTTCCCTCTCCTCTCCTTATTTCTCTGCTGATTTTTCCCAGCTTGAATGTCAGCTCCTTGCAGGAGCCACTTTACCTTGCAAGTCTGGTTACAGGGCTTAGCTCATAGTGTGACATCCAATATATATTTGCTGAATAAATAAATGTCAAGAAAAGAATGTCAAGAAGTTGAGGATATTTCTATTGAGTGGGTTGTAATTTCTTTGTGAACTAGGAGGCCAAAGCATTTGTCGAGAGTAAAGATGAAATGGTGGGGGGGTGCACATTGAAGGGAGTGGAGTTTGGAGGGTGGGAATGGAAGAGAGTGAGGACAAAAAGCATCAATAAACGGTTCGGCAGCATTTAGACCCCAAAATACTGAAGATACAGGTGATGGCATCAAAGAATGAATGAGAGCATGTCATTTACTTGCCACTGTTTTGAAACAGATTTCTGATAAACTGAGCTAAGTTGAGTCACACAGTATTTGTTACAGACAGGATAATGGCCCCTCAAAGATGCCCATGTGAATCCCAGAACCTGTGAATATGGTACTACACATGCCAAAAGGGACTTTTGTATGAGTGATTAAAGTCTAAGGGACTGGAGATGGGCAGAGTC